AATTTTTTTTTATACTAAAACCTTAGATATTTCCCTTTCATTTGATATCATTTTTTTGAAAATCTAACACTTAACCTGCTCATTGGGGGGATTTAAAATAGCAACTTTTTTACAAAAACTAACTTTTTCAACTTTATTTTTGAAAATGTACCGGAAATACTCCGTCCTTTAAACATATATCAAAGCAAAGGTTATGTAATATACTATAAAATGAAAAAAAAAAAATTGTCCCGACGACCTATCTTCTATGCGCAATTGGCTACCGTATTCAAAAATATGCTATTTTTCTATTAAAATTCTTGGTTTTGTACTTTATTTTATTATAAGGGGATTACACTGATTTTCATAAATATTATATCAATCTATATAACATAGTATAAAAAATTAATCATATTTAAATTCTTTTGTTTCTTTAAAATCGAGAAAAATAACTTTAAAATTTGAACTAGCTAAATTTCCATTTTTATTAAATGACGAATGAGACGTACGTTTTTTGAGACGGTAAAACTTGGGTTTTTCACGACTGTGGCACTGAATTTATTTTTAATTCTTTTTGAGTTAAAAAAAAATGTTTAACTCATTTAATTTTTATCTCATTTAGATTCAATAACTTCAATAAATATCAAGGATTCTATTACTGTAGTCTCCTCTCGTGAGAAGAAATTCATATTAATATTATTTTACTATGTGGTTTTTTTTTTGTAGCTATCATTTATTTTCTCAGCTCTCATTTGACCTACTTTTTTTTAAAATTAAACACTATCTACAGATTTGCATCGAAGCGTTTTTTATGATAGTGATTTTAATCACTGTCAGATATCATCTATACTGGACCCAACTATGCCACGACCCCACTGTGCCGCCACCCCACTGTGCTGTGTTTTAATATATTTAAATTTGCTATGTGGGCTGCTACCACTAGTTCTGGTCCTACATAGGTGTTCTCTGTTTCTTTCCTGGTTAGAAAGTAAGTATTTTCATTTCCAGTGACACTGTTGTATCCTGGTACCCACGGAAGTGTAACTTTGTTGAACCTCGATTGTGATTTTAAAGTTTCGCTGTGTTTAAGGACCAGCTTTGAATTCACCGGATTATTACAGAGTGCTTTAAAAGCCGCTTGACTGTCACTTAAGATAGTTTGATCTTCCTATTTTTGTATACCAGTAGGTTCTGAGCCCCTAAAAGTATCGCTATCACTTCTCTTGGAAAACAGAGGGTGTTGTGCCTAATGACATGCTGATATTTATTCATGTGTATAGACCCCAAATGGACGCAACTACCTTTCCTGATATTTTGGATCCATCTGTATATATCACAAATCCTCCTTTTTCAGTCAGGTGTCACTTTGTAGGGAATGTTATTCTTAAGAACCGGTTTGATATAGTCCAAGAGGTATTCCAAAAAGCCCTGGTCTATTTCTTTTACTATTTTACCGTGTTCTGCTGTGTCACTCCCAAAGTCCAAGTACCCAAGTTGTGGAATCTTAGATCTGTGGCTTTGGCGTAATCTCTAGGTGCAGAGGAGGCAATCCGATTAGTACCTCTAATGCGACCGTTGGTGTAGTTCTTAATGCTCCAGTGATGGCTATGGTGGCCATTCTCTGTATGCCTCTAAGTTATTTCCTAGCTGTAACGAATACTGTTCTAGTCTACCAGACTATGGTACCGTATAATATCATAGGTTTGTAACGTGACAAAAACTATCTATTTATTTTTTTGTCTATTTGTATATATATATTTGTGTTGAGCCGAATGCGTACTGCGACGGCGTTTATCAGTTTGTGTGCGTGCGAGATAGTCAGCTGTGTACTACTTCAGACCGGTTCATGGATGGCATTTGTGTGTACATTCACCCCTCTCCTTTCCTATCTTGAACGTCATTTGCACTGCTCACCACATACATTGTCGCCTTATGATTTAAATTGTTCTTAGTAATTTCTGGCACTGGGTATTTAGTTTTTTTTTTACCCCTACTCTAAAGGCTAGCCGTGTTGTCGCCAACGGACCGCCGGACGTTTTGTCGGAAATTAGCTATCGTTGGAACTGGTACGCTAATTTTCGTCCGTAGTGGTTTTTTTAGTTGTGTGCGTTACAACATTTTAATTTACTTATATATATTTTTCGTGAGTGTCCGCTACTATAATTTCAATATGTAATTTTTTTTATTGGCGTCGGCTCAACTTGCTTCCGGTTTCTTTAGCCCTTCGGGGCTGGTAATGTATATTTTTGTTTTTTATGTTTTGAGCCAGAATTTGTTTTTTTTTTATTTTTAGTGTGCCTTGCCATAAGCACGTGTGGCGAGTTTTTTATATTAAATTTTTTGTAGGTGTCATTATTTATTTTTTTTTTGATCCCTCAACATGACAGGCGTGTTACAATACCACCTGTCATGTTATATATATATGTTTTTTTGCGATTTTTTTTATATATAGGTAAATAGGTACATTGGGTGATGCATATTATATATCATGAGTACAATGTGGTGACGTAGTGCATTTTATTTCAGGGTGTCCCAACGTCTTGCAAGCTAAGTCTAACTGCCTAAAATCAGTCGCTTACTTGGGACGTATACCCACTGTGCTTCACGTTAATCTGTTCCTGCGGTTTCTCACTGAAAAAAGAATATTTGGAATGCAACTGTCCCACTAGCTGTGTGGTTTTTCGATCAGCGCGGTCCGTAGTCCTTTTTTCAAGTCTTGATTCTGGCGCTCAACTGGATTTGCTCTGGGGTGATAGATCGGCGTCGTCCAAGCTAGTGTTCCCCACTTCTCCAGTGCTTTGGAGACAAATTGCGTCCCATTGTCAGACAAGAGCGTTCGAGCATAACCGAAACGGGAGAAGAACTCTTATTCAAACGTATCGGTTTACGTAGCATAAACCCATCTACTATAACAGTCTGTTGCTACCAGTTGGCGTTTTTTCCCACACGCAGTCGTGGGATATGGGACCATAAGATCAATACTTATTACCTCCCATGTCTGGTGTGGTTTTCTCGGTGTCATCGGATCTTGCGGTTTCCGATTCAAAGGCTTGACACATGCATAAATGTGACACCTCGCGACGTATTGTGCACCGATTCTCTAATGCCGGGCCAGTAGAAACGCTTACCGATACTACGGTAGGTTTCTTTCCAACCTGGATGCCCGGCTAGTTCATGGTCATTATACCTCCATAGTAGGTGATCAGCCATGTCCGACGGAACGACGATGATGTTTTTACCGGATCCCTCTGGTCCTTTTAGTAAAATACCGTTTTTCAGATGATATTACCGAAAATGTACCATTGAATTGTATTTTTACCCCGGAGTGTCCGAACATTTATGGGTAAACTTTTGTCTTCGGTTTGTCACTGTTTAATGTCCGAAATACTAATATTTTCCGGGTGGTTTCCGTCAAATATTGCCCCTATGTGATCTTCTCCAGAAAAATCATTTGTTGATGGTGGATCATGGAACTTTTCGTCCAAACTTCCCTCATTTACCGGTACTTGATCCACGGGGCTTCTCGACAACGCATCTGCGGCTTGGTTTTCGGCTCCAGGCACATATTGGATGTTGAAGTCGAACGATCCCAGTTGTAACGCCCAACGAGTAAGCTTACTGTTGGTGTCCCTGGTGTGATGAAGCCATTTGAGCGCTAAGCTATCGGTAAGTAATGTAAACTTACCGGTCTTTAAGTGTGGGCGGAAACGATCGACAGCCCACACTATGGCTAAACACTCTTGTTCGACGGCGGATTACCTTGTCTGAGCGGGAGAAAGTTTTCGGCTGCCATATGATATAACCCTTCTCTGACCGGTTTCTTTCCCCTGGAACAGTACGGCAGCTACTCCTACTTCACTTAAGTCCGTTTGTAGAAAGAACGGTTTTCCTTGAAGTGGAGAACAGAGTTTAGGTGCGGTAGCCAGCGCTTCCTTGAGCTTGTAAAATGCTTCTCGCTCCCGTATTGCCCATCGCCATTTAATTCCTTTTGCTAAAAGATCTATTAACGGTGATTTCAGTGTAATTTGAAACAAACTGACTATACCAACCACATATCCCGAGAAACTTTTGCAAATCTTTTACCTTTTTTGGTTCAGGAAAATCGACGATTGCGATTAACTTTTCTGGTTCCCGATCAATTCCTGTTGAATCAACAATGTGCCCAAGAAAATTGATCTCTGATTACATTTTTTTGGTTGAACAGTTAACTCGTGTGTTTGTAACCGTTCTAGGACTCGTTTTAGGTGATTGAGATGTTCCTCCATACTCAACGAGTACACCACAATGTCATCCAGGTATACAAATACGAATTTACCAACGTATCCACGCATAACCTCGTTTACCAACCGTTGAAAAGTAGCTGGGGCGTTTTTAAGGGCATTACTTTAAATTGGTAGATATCCATTTGTATGCGGAACACGTTGAGTGGTCTTGACGCTGGTGTCAGACCAACCTGCCAATAACCGGATTTCTGGTCGATGGTGCTGAAGTTGTTAGCGCCACCCATCTTGACCATGTCATGTAAGTCGGACATTGGATGTGCGTCGAACGCCGTCTGAAGATTGAGTCTTCGGTAATCGACGCATAACTGCTGAGAGCCATCTTTCTTTTTGGCGAAAACTACGGGACCTGGCCATGGCGAAATACTTGGTTCTACAAACGCTTGCTCCTCCATCTCTCGCACCATATTAGATATGATGTACGTCTTTCAGTACCCATGTGAATGGTTTGCATTGATACCAGGTACATGCCTGGTATCAATCCCATGATACTTCCTGTTTCACCAAAAGTTCATGTCCTAGGAAGATGTCCCCAATCAAGTGGTCGACTACTGCGGCTCTGAACGTCACCTGATGAAGTTCAGACACCCTTGCTGTGAATTCAGCGTACTCGTGAACCTGCACGGTCCGGTTGTCAGCTATAGTGACCACATATGGTTCTTCATCTACCAATTTCTCATATTTGCGTGCTACCCACGGTAAAACGTAAGATCTCGTGGCTTGAGAATCTAACGGTGCAATAACTATTCCCGTAGGGAACTTCAGTTCAATTGCCGGTAATGGCACATTGTAACTTTTTGGTGTACCGCTTTTTTTTTACCGTTCTTACTTGAGTTAACATGACCATAGTTTCTACTGTGATCTTCTCCGGTTCCAAAAACATTACTGAATCCTACTCGGATTCTGTTCGGTTCCCATTGTCGATAGAAACATTTACTCTGGAGAAAAGTTCAGCTACCCGGAGACGTATATTGTATAAAGAATCCGTGTCAGATTTTCTCCGTCGATTTTGAATTCCGCTGAAAGGAGTAAACTCCTCAAAGAATTTTACCGGGAAAGACTTCGGAACCGGCAACAAAGTACTTGTAAGAAGGTCTTGTTCTGGGTCTTCCGGGATTTTTTTCGGTAAAGGGTAAAGGGTCTACGGAAATGTGCTGTTAATGTTCCTTGGTCAGGACACGTTGAACTACATTCCAGTATTTACGGAACTTCTCCCTTTGCGGTTTTCTCCCGAAAATTATCCTTTCCTTCGGATTCAATTGCGGCAACTGCATTTTGATTTGTCCCTCCGATCCCTTTATGTGTTCTTGGGCAGAACTTCAGGCCTTGGGACTTTTTTTCGGCGGATTTCGGGTTTTAACACTTTCTGTCCGAGCGATTTTCTGTGGATCGACCGGACTCTTCTTGTTTCCCCACTTATTGTAGTTTTTGTCCGGGCAGTTCGCCCACCAGTGACCGTACCGAATGCAGTTTTTGAATCTAGTCGCTTTAAAATGGTTTTTCTCCGGAAGTTTACCGTTTGAACTCGGCAGTGGTTCTTTATTAGGCCATTTAGGGCCGTACTCATCCGCCGATAATCTCTTTTCTTCGGGCTGCCGTTGCCGTAAGAAGTCTTCACTATTTAGATCATTAGCCCAATCAAACAGATCGTCTATTAACTTCGATCGCCTAACACGCGCCTGTATCCGATAATCTCTGTTCATCAGCACCACGATAAGATCGACTAGCTCGTAGTCCGCAAGCCTAGAGTCTAGTGGGCGGGCTAGCTGGAACTTCCATATAATGAACTCGCCTAACGACTGGTTCTCTCCCTAAATACCATTGTGGAAGTCGTTGCGAATTTGTGTCCGGATAGACTCACTATTGAACCTTCGCATAAACTGTTGTCGGAACATATGCCAACTTGGGTTCATACAGCGTATGATTTCCCACCATGTTCCGACCTCCGCTTTGAGTTGAGGTGCTAGGACTTGGAATCATTTGTTAAATGGTACTCTAGCCTCATTGTTGTAGAATTAAGGATTTACTTTATTATAATAAATAAACAAATAATACAGCGGTTGAATTTTTTTTAACATATATTTTAAATTAGTATTTAATTTGTCCGTACAAATATCACGATTATTTATTCCGTGAGGACGTTGAAAGAAAAAGTGCTTGGTGCATCATCGGACCGGTTTGCGTCACCCGCGGTCACTCGGCGTTGCACGACGGTCGGACGAGGAGAGATAGCTGTGTCGCAGTCGCCATCCGGCAGTAAAGCCGGAAGTGCAATGTGTCCAGCAGCAGGATGAGTGAAGAGTGGAGGAGTATTGCCTCGACGTCGGGCTCCACCTCCATCCACTCCACGATGTCCGGCTGTTGGAAGGTTAGGTCCAATGGCGGATCTATCCGATCGTTTCCTAGGAACACTACAGTCAGATCGGGTTGTCGACCCCGGCTCACGTTTCCGTCGGGCCGAGACCCACTTCCCACTCCGTTTACCACTACTGTGACGGGGGTGGCTGGCTGGCATCTAGTGCCACCTGTTTGGTCCCGGGTATTGTGCCGGTGATTTGGCCGATTTCGCTCAAGCCGCTCTTGTGCCGGTTGTTTTGGACGGCGAGCACGTGGCCGTGGTTTTGCAGGACCATCGTTCCATCTCTGGGTTTCCCCTTGGCGGACTCTCTCGATCAAACCGCGAACGAAAGCGGGCAACAGTAGTGGCTGGGATCGCAACTCCCAGACTTCTGCCGTTCTGACCCGAGCCCGGCTCCAATTCGGCAACTTTTCGTAGGTTTCACCCAGTAATACCGCTGCTTGCCGCATCAGACGTCTCGCCTGTTGTCGCGTGTTCGGCGGCTAATCGACGCGATGGGCGGAACGGGCGGGCTCTCCTTGCTGCTGGTTGTCGGTCATCCTGTAACAGAGGATGATTGTTAGGATTACCTCCCGAAGTGTCATGTTTCATGGCCGTAACATGCAGCTTCAACTGACGCTTTCCTTTGGTCGCAAATACTCCCTCAATTAACCTTTTGGCTTGTTGCACTGGGCCCAGCCACTTAGGGGCAAGGCCGGCATGAAACTTTTTATCAGCGCTGGATAAGGGATGTGCGCGTTAATACACCCAATTCCCTTCCTCAAAGCGTTTGCGGTGATTTTCACGGGATATATTGTGACCAGCGTTGTTCTTACCGAAAGATGACCCGAAATTTTGAGAGGGTTGTCCTCCCCCCCAGAAATTTTAATTTTCCTACCGAAGATACAGGAATTTTCGATTATCACACACCGGAGTTATGGTCATTTTTCGGCCTTTTCAGGAAAAATTGTTGTTTCTTCGGTGTAATCCTTCTTCTACTTGTTTCGGGTTTTTACCCGTAGAAATAATGTCCAGCAGCCAACCGCCGGGGGCTTTGGCTTCTCGCCTAAATGCCCGCTCAGAGGGAGTGCTCCCTGTTAGACTTTTCCGACGATTTCTTATTGAAAAAAGTATATTCGGAATACAGCTGTCCCAGTGACTATGTGGTTTGTCAACCAAAGCTGTCCGAAGACCTTTTTTCAAATCCTGGTTTCGCGGTTCTACGGGGGTTTGCTCTTGGATGGTAAATTTGCGTTGTCCATCCTTCTGTATCTCACTTCTCCAGTGCTTTCTCAATTTTTTTGGAAAGAACTGTGTTCCATTGTCTGAGAGAAGTACTCTAGCATAGCCGAAACGAGAGAAGAACTCTCTTTCTAGAGTGTCGGTAATCGTCTTAGCGGTGGCTTGCCCTAGGGCAGGGGTCGGGAACCTTTTCGTAGGAAAAAGCCATTCTTTCAAAAAAATACAAAACTATGATATCTATAGAGCCGCACAGTTGTGAACAACCTTTTGTTAGTAGGTAATAAAAAAAATTCCGAAAGCGACCATTTTTAATTGGCTGAAACTTTCGGGAAGACTGTTCCATACGTCAAATATAACTTGTTCTTCTTTTTGACATTTAGCAAGTTCCGTCCATTTATGGTTCGCAGCTAAAAATCCTTTTCCCTTTCCAGATTTTCAATATCCGTTTTCAAATTCTCAAATTTTGTAGACCAAAGATCTTTGGATTTAGTTCTATTAATTGCAATGAAAATAGTCTTTTGTCGACAGATGGAAACGATGGAAAATTAATTTTACCAGTCTCCGTTATGAGTGGTGATGTCAAAAAGTTCAACGTAGATTTATATTTTCGAAAATCTTCAAAACGTCTACTGTTCGGGTGAACGCTCAAGTTGGTCATACTGATAGTGTATTATCTGGTGATAACACTTCCCTCATCGGACGCTTGGCCGTTATAGTTTATAATTCACTCTCTCGAGATCCGTCGCCTAGATTTATTGGTTTTTTTTGTTTTTTAAAAACGCGTTATTGTCTCGCTCTCGTTATTGAACTATTGCTTTCGCCTAACCTAAAACATTATATCTTTTTTTTGTTTTACTACTAAAATCGTTAGTCTGTTGTTAATTCGTAAGCACGATTGTTAGCCTATTTGAACCGTCAGCGTAACACAAAACCAAATTTGTATAATATTAATTGGTAATAATTTCAATAGTTTATTTATTATTTGTTATTTATATACCTTGTTGTTCGCACATTAGCTCACTTTACCCATAGGGTACATTGTCATTTGTATTAAGCTCTTTAGATATATTAACTCTATTCTGGATTGTAACAATACAATTATTCTATTAAAACATAATCAGCAGACTGTTAAAGTGCGAGCCCCTCGGTACAATTGTCCAGTAATATTTAATTTATAATTTAGATAAGTTAAAGTGTAGTTAAGTTTCTAGTAATTTATGTTACGATTATCTTTTTATGTTATTCATGTGGTAGTATAAAGCAAATCCAGTCCATACGTCCAGATAAGTTAAAGTAATTAAATAGTTGAGTTGCTCATTTAATAGTTTATCTGAGTTAATTGTTTATTGTTTAATGAAATTAGTCGTTTGTTATATTATTATTACAATTTGATTTAATCGACCACTGGTCATTGCACGATTGAAATTAACTCTGTCCTTTGATTAATGAACTCTAATGTTTGTCCATTTGTTTATGAACTCATAATGTGATAATAATTGTTTTTTTTTTCATATATTTGATTCAACTACTTCTCTTGAACAATCTTATTACTTATCCCTATCTTCAATTTGTTAACGTTCATAAAAATTATACTTGTGTTTTGTCCAATACCTGCTAATTACTTATTTTAATTTGTTAATATAATTGTACAAAATAATTGAATTTAAGTCTGTATTAAACATTACTCTTGTACTTTGCTCATTGCAATAAATTTACTGATTTCACTGAATCATGTCGCACTGAATATTCACATTTCCCTTTACCTCTTGAGCACATATACAGTCCACTATCACAAATCATGTATTATAAATAACTAACTGAACACATATTACAGGTAAGGTAGTTAGAGCATTGGAGTTAATTGGCTTACTCATGGTACAAATTTTATTTACTTTTACTCTCATAATACTTGGTGTTATAATTTTTATTTAGCTTAATTGTTCCAATTCCTCCCTACCCCTCCACTCCACGCACCTTCCTATACAAATAAATCAGATAGTCATACTTAGAAAATCAACTGACTAACCGGCTTTTCTCTTGTCGCCTTCGTAAGAATAGGAGTTCGTTCACTGTTCAGTCCTGTTCCTAACATCTACTAAACGAATTTTTCATGGATTGAATCCCCGATTTAAAATACTCCAAATCAATAATACAACCTGAGCTTTCCGTGTACTCTTTCAAAGATTCAAAATGATCAAGATTTCCGCTGTCAATATCTTCTGAAAAAAGTTGAAGTTGTTGTTCGAAAGAAAGAACAGTTTCCAGTAGTGTATGTGCTGTATTTCCCTTACCTTGAAGCTTTTTATTTAAGTGATTTAGAGATGAAGTCAAATCTACAGCAAAATACAATTTTTGTAGCCACATATTATCGCACAATTCGGGGTAGTTGATGCCTTTATTTGTTAAAAAAATCTTTTATGGGTTCGAAACAATCTGTAAAGCGCTTCAAAACAGCCCCTCTCGATAACCAACGTACATTATTAAACATTAAAAGTTCCTTGTATCGGGCATTAACTTCATCAAGTAATGCACGAAACTGTCTATGGTTCAGAGCTGAAACTATGATTTTGTTAATAATTTTCACTGCTAGTGCCATGACTTGGTTAAATTCAACTGGAAATGTTTGAGCACATAAAGCTTCTTGATGTACAATACAATGAAAAGATAGTAGTTCATGTTTCACATTTTGGCCAAAAAGAGTAATAAATCCTTTATATTTACCAATCATATTTGGTGATCCATCAGTACAAAGAGATATCAGCTTATCTAAATTGATTTCTTTCTCTTTACAAAATTCTGTAATTGCAGCGCAAATGTCCTCTCCTCGAGTTTGTCTTTTGAGCGGTAGTAAACCCAGTAATTCTTCATGAACACCCGCAGACGAAACATACCGTCTCATTAAAGTGAGTTGAGCGATGTTTTTAATGTCACATGATTCATCACAAGCTAAGGAAAATACAGGTGATGACTTCAGATCGGAAAACTGTTGTTCTGAGATATTTTCAGCCATTCTAATAGCTCTATCACGAACATTAGTTGCCGACAATGGAATATCCTTTATTTTATTGATTATTTCTGTTTTATTTTTAAATTCAGAAAAGAGATGTTCTGACATACCAATAAAACATTTTTTAATATATTCTCCATCAGTGTACGGTTTTCCAGATTTCATGATTTCGTGAGATACAACAAAACTAGCTGCAGTCAAATTAGACGCTGACTGCAACCAGTTATTAAATTTTGATGTCGATTGTTGAGATTTACGAATCAACTCGGCCACTGCTGTTTTTCTTTCATTTTCAGTTGGATACGTCTTACCAAAATAATTGTGTTTGTATAAAAAATGACGTACAATATTAGATTTTTTATTGTTTTTGAAGTTTTCGTCACAAATAAGACATTTTGGTTGTCCCATGTTGTTCGGGACAAATGCATAAGTATCAGTCCACTCACTTCTAAATCCTCCATTTTCCTCTTCAATTTTACGTTTTTTGTTTGTAGACATTTCGAAGTTTATAGAAATACCTCTATTGGAAAAAAATCACATGAAAGAAATACCGAACAACGTCGCACTGATTGAATTGACCTAACGAGGACCGTGCTCACGTAACGACTAATATAATTTTGTATTCTACCGAATAATGATAGTCGAGTTTAATAGAACACACACATATATATTATGTACACAATAAAACTAATTGTGTGATAAGATTAATAAATAACAACGAAAACATTCCCGACCCATGTAATAAAAATAAAATAGATAGAACACTCACATACATATTATAAACACAATAAAACTAACTGTGCGATAAGATTAATAAATAATTATTGAGAAATTCAGAATTATTATATATTATATATATTGATAATTATCCAAAGAGCCGCAGGTAGAAGCATACCCACTAGGGCCTAGGTTTGGTTGGGTTCATAAAAAAATCAAACTTTATAAATTTATTACAATACATACACATACGATTTAATGGACTATAGTAACTGTAATTCTGGCGGTGGCAATCAATATGAAATAATGGATGATTTCGTGCGTTGAATGAAGGAACATTAAATTTAATTTTAGTTAATAAATCAGGACAATCAATTTGATTATTAATAATTTTATATACAAAATTTACATCATTAAATAGTCTACGTTTAGATAACGGATCTAGACCGCATTGTTTAGCAACGNTAGACATATTTTTTACATATCATCATACACATCTACCGTTTGTATTTCATAACACAAAGAGTCGGTATTCCATGAAAAATAATAAAATTATTATTTTTAGTTTATTTATACACATGTAAGAAACCAAAGCAGAATCAATATTTCATGAACACATCCTTGATCTAATAGAATAAGCGAATTATTAATACAAATATAATTAAATTTTTTATATGATTAAAACCATAATAATGAACACACTGTCAAGTACCCTCTCCCATGTGTGATCAAGCTGACATAAGAAAAAATATGGTTATGTTCAAAAAAGAAGCTCTCAATCATCATTCGTTTTTTTTTCTTCACTACTTCTTCTTCGTTTGGAATGGTTTTGTCTCCTCAATATTTTTGACATGTGTTACAAATCCGTGATGGAGGAGTAAAGTTTTTTCAATTTGGCTTGGCCATCATAATGGCATCAACACCAATACATTTTCTTGGGCATTCAACAACGAAGTATTATGGTATATTTTTGATCCTTTTCTGTTTGTTATAATTTATTTCGTCATCCTCTTATTTGTTTAGTTAATGACTATAGGGATTGTAACTATGATTTGAGATTATGTTATATGGTCAATTCTTTCTGTTCTTTAATTTTCCTTCTTCACCTTACGTGAGTTGACAGGTCCTCGGGTGTGGTCAGGGTGGACATGGTGAACATCTCAATGGGTCCCTTACATTTATGTAGGGGATACCCATTGACGTTGGTGACATGTCCATTTTACCCTGACCCACACGATGGATCTGTCATACTCACGTTACCCTCCTGTTTTCTTTGTTTTCTCTTGTTGGTACATTATTAAATTAATTATTTGATCCAGTTAATAGTTGATATATAGTTNAAATTAATTAATTGATCCAGTTAATAGTTGATATGTCGAGTCGTTCTGAAATGGACTGTTAAATACTGATTATGTGTAATTATACAATTCACAAAATACAAAGGCCGTTCTGAAGCCTGTATGTCTGTAGACATTTAGTTCTAATTGCAATAAATCATAATGTTACCGCTATGTGTGCCAAATAATGCATGTAAATAAAAGATAATTTATTGGGCAGGAATCATATTAACTGGATCTGTTTTCATTCACCTGTTTCTGTTATGACTTGTGGTTTCATATTTATTATCTTATGCTTCCTATTCATATTTTCTTTTAGAATCCTTGACCATCATTTATTTGTTTATAGTATTTTAATTCACATACTGTTAATTTGATTCATTATATTTTATTTATTAATATGCTTTAATTGTTCATTAAAATTTTTTTTGTCATAATAATAAAAAAGAAAAAAAACAATGAACTTATAATAATTAATAAATTTTAATCATTGTAATCATAAAGAATTCCTATTTTTAATTACCTTTTCACATCGAATAAAGTACAAAATCCCTGGTGCTCCGGCTTTGCCTCGGCCCAGGGTGGACCCTTCTTGGGGTCCTTGTAAAGTTAGGCTGATCTTTATTAGTTTAGCTTACAAACGTTAGAAACATCATTAATTGGTAATTTTAATTTAGGTGCTAAAAATTTTAGGAAGCGAATGATGAGAAATCTACGTTTGACACATTTACATTACAATTATTATTATTACTATTATCAAAATTCATTAATGTTGGTTGTGTTTGTTTTAAGTATACAGATGCAAAATATGAACTAAAGATATTAGGAATGTCATTTATGTTATCAGAATGGAGATTATTATAAGTAATTGAGTTTAATATTGGTTTAGACGCTTGTTTGTTTTTGACGTATTTCCAGAAATATCTAGGATTATAAATTAATGAATTTTGAGTTTTGGTTAAATAATTGAAATAACAAGATTTAGATAAATTTTTAAATTTTTTTCGGCATTGTGAAAAATTATTGTAGTCAGATTGATTATTAGTTGACTTGTATATATATGTAATTCTTTTTTCTTATGAATAAGCATTTTAAGATCTATACTAAACCATTGTGGGAAATTATACTTTTTTGGGTATTTTTTTGGTACATATTTGGTAAATAAATTATAAATTTTGTCATAGAATATGTTTACAATTTCATTAACATTTTTATTTTCGAATAAGTTGTTCCAATTTATGAGTCCTAACGACCAACATATTGAAGTATAGTCATCTGTTTTGAAATAATAATACCAGTTCGAATCGACATTGTAGTTTAAATTTCGAATAACACCATAATTACTATGTATCGAAAGTGCTGGGTGGTATTTATCTAAAGGGACTAATAATTCATCACAAATATCGATTGTTCTTGAGTTTGCAGAAGTAAATACTAGATCGAGGGTGGAGCCCACAAAATTTGAATGTGTGTTAACTTGAAAAAAATTATTATAGGCATAAATATCAAAAATTTCATTAGCCTGTGGTGTAAGTATGTTGTTAGTAATTAGTCCAGTGTTATCACTGGTTATGACAGTTTTCGGTAGGTTGAAGTCACCGGCGACAAAGTATTGTACTTTATTGCCATTCTTAGATAAGACCCAATCGACTGTTTGAGCGTGTATAGAATAGAAACTGGTATGGCTATTTGGTGGAATATAACAGGTTCCAATAATAAACGTTAAAACCTTACCAATAGTAACGGCAATGAACAATTGATCAATAGTGTTGTTAGGTATATCAATAATTTTAGACAAAAACTTATTACTAACGCATATTGAAACACCACTGCCTCTATTACAGTTACTGATTGCATAGTTCCTATCAGATCTATAAACAGAGTAGTTATCAAAGCCCAATTCACAATCCACAGTGCTTCGTGAACCGCCTCGAAAGGCAAAGTAGTTTTGTTATTATTTAATAAATCGATTTGTTGGCGCAAATTCGATACCTCTGTTTTCATATCATAATTAGTTTTCAAAGTAGAAACAGTACCAGATAATTCATCGAAATACTTCCTAATTTCAACAAATTCAGATTTTTGCTCCAAGACTGAAGTTTAGATGGCTTCAAGTTTGGTGTTCATAGATTTGATAGATGATTGTAACGTTTGCAAAGATTGCATAATATCAATGGTATCATTGGTTGGATTTTTATTTGTTTTACTCCTAGTGTTATAAAGCAGATTTGGAGAGTTTTCTTTAGATTTAGTTGATGTAGCCATTATGAAACTAAAAATCGAACGATCACGGAAATAAACAGATAAGAAACCGGTAGTTCACCATTACGTGTTTACCGCACAACCGCTAAACTGTAACTGTAATTCCCGTCGAATCAACTATGTGTCCGAGGAAATTTATACGGCTTACAACGTAACAACATTTTTTCGGTAAACTTGACAACCCATGTGATTGTAGCCGTTCCAAGACTCGTTGTATGTGGTTGAGGTGTTTCTTCATATTCACCGAGTTCACCACGATATCGTCTAGGTACTCAAACACATATTTACAGACATATCCACGCATAACCTCGTTTAGCAACCGTTGAAAAGTAGCCAGGGTGTTTTTAAGGGCATTACTTTAATTTGGTAGATATCCATTTATGTGTGAAATGCGGTGAGTTGTCTTGACCCCTGAGTCAAACTGACCTGCCAATAGCCAGACTTAAGGTCGATGGTGCTGAGGATGTTAGCACCACCTATTCCATGGATCATTTTGTGCAAGTCACGAATTGGGTGTGCGTCAGATTCTGTTTGGAGATTCAGTCTCTGGTAATCCACGTATAATCGCTGGGATCCATCCTTTTTTTGGCGAGAAATACGGGAGCTGCTCATGGCGGGGTACTAGGTTCCACAAAACCTTGCTACTCCACTTCTCGCAACATACGTGTGATGGTATCCTGTTTTTCACGATTATAAGGATATGCGTTCAAAGTAACCGGAGTTTTCTCTTTTAACTGGATGTCATGTTCAATGACTCGGGTCCTACCGACTTCTCCGGAGAAAACCTTCGGGTACTTGAGTATTATTAACTGGACATCTTCCGGAAACTTCCCTTCCGGGATAACCATCTCCGGTTCGGTTTTCTCCAACATACCGTCGCTCTTCTTTCTGTACCCACGTGGATGGTACATGCTCGGTAGTCCCATGCCACTTCTTGTTTCACCAACAAGGCAACAGTAACACGTCACCGATTAGATGGTCAGGTACCGCGGCTCTGAATTAATCTTCAATGCCAGACACCTGTGCTGTAAACTCCGCGTAGTCATGAACTTATTCGTTCGGCTATCAGCCAATGTGACCACACTCGGTTCCCCTTTTATTGATTTACCAAACTCATGTGCTCCCCACGGTAAAACATAAGATTT